TTAATTATATTTTAATTTTTTTATATTTAAAATAAGATGTTTATCTTGTATTTAGTTATGTTTATCTGCAGTTAGTTATACGAATTCAAAAATGGAGCTTTAATAAGTTGTACTTATACATAATTTATTTATAATTTTTAATTTTAAGTAATATACATTAATACACGATACTTTATGTATAAAAAATAATTTTTAAAAACTTTTATCAAATATTTTATAATATAGTATAGATCTCACCTACCTCAATTAACCACAATAATTGCTTGCAACGATACCCATAAAAAATAAAGGGCGTGTTTGGTTTGCAGGAATTGGAGGGATTTGGAGGGATTTGGATTTGAAATCCATTCCAATCCTGTGTTTGGTTTGCTGGATTGTGAGGATTTGAAATCCATGGATTCCTTTGAAATCCCTTAAACGCTGGATTTGGAAATCCTTTGAAAATACATGGGATTTGAAATCCATTCCCTTACATCGTCTCCATCTTCTCCCACAGCATACATGTTTGCCCTAACTCGTCTCCATCTTCTCCCACAGCTTACATCGTCTCCCTTCGTCTTCGTCTCCGTCTCCGTCGCCCTTCGTCTCCCTTCGTCTCCGTCGCCGTCGCCCTTCGTCTCCGTCGCCGCCTCCGTCGGTGGTCGTCGCTTACCGTCTCCGTCACCCAACGTCTCTGTCACCCTTCGTCTCCGTCGCCTTTTCGATTTCTGTAGTTCTCGATAATTTGCTTCATTGAGGAATCTTGTACAGACCATAGACAGTTGCTAGCTCTTTTGAGTCAGGAGACCCAATACTACAAATCCTACAAACCAAACAGAGGAATGGATTTCAAATCCAATCCAATCCAAATCCCATGGAATCCAAATCCCTCATAGGAATCCAAATCCCTCAAAAACATTCCTGCAAACCAAACGCACCCAAAGAGTTTTGGTTGTCATTTGTTGACTTTGACCAATAATTGCTTGCAACCCATACCCACAAAAAATAAAGAGTTTTGGTTGTCATTTGTTGACTTTGACCANTTTGGTTGTCATTTGTTGACTTTGACCAATAATTGCTTGCAACCCATACCCACAAAAAATAAAGAGTTTTGGTTGTCATTTGTTGACTTTGACCACCTCCATCAGCACAATAATTGCTTGCAATCATATTTTAGCTCTCATTTCTTGAGCTCTACATCGACTTCTCCTTTCTACTTCTGCATTTGCATTTGCATTTGCAATTGCTTGGTGTAGTTCACTTTTCTCATTTTCATTTGATTTACAGATAATGGACTTCTTTTTTGATGAGTTCCAACATCTTAAAATCCCATTAGAAGATATAAAATCAGCCACCCACAACTTTAGCAACGACAACTTGATCGGAAAGGGTGGGTTCGGGAACGTCTACAAAGGAGAAATCTCTCTCTCAAACGGGCCAAGCGTGGTTGCTTTTAAGCGTCTAGATCTACATGGTCTGCAAGGAAACTCAGAGTTCTGGAGGGAGATTATGATGCTTTCCCGTTACTCCCATGAAAATCTTGTATCTCTCCTGGGATATTGCAACGACGATGATGAGAAAATCCTTGTGTATGAGTATGCATCTCGTGGAAGCCTTGATCGCCATTTAAGCTCCGATGCTCTCACATGGATGCAGCGCCTTAAGATATGCCTTGGGGTTGCAAGGGGACTCAACTGCCTTCATGATCCCATGGGGACACAACAAAGAGTTCTTCACCGTGATATCAAAAGCGCCAACATCTTATTAGATGAGAATTGGACTGCTAAAATTTCTGACTTAGGGTTGTCGAAAATAGGTCTGGCTAATCAGAAAAACACATTTCTTGTCTCTAATGTTGTAGGTACCTTTGGGTACATAGATCCCCTGTATCTGGAGATGGGCGTGCTAACAAAAGAGTCAGATGTATACTCTCTTGGGGTCGTCTTATTCGAGGTATTGTGCGGTAGATTATGCTTTAAATATAGCAATGATCACTATCACAATCTAGTGCGTATGTGGAGGAAAAGCTACAAAGAAAAGAAATTAGATGAGATCATATCTCGAGATCTGTTGCAGCGAATGGATGTGAGTTCTTTGGAAACATTTTCAGCCATTGCATATCAATGCTTGCAGAAAACTCGTGGAKACCGGCCACTAATGGCTGATGTCGTGAGAAAACTTGAGATTGCACTTAAAGCTCAAGAGATTTATGAAGGGGTGAAATGGTCGGAGATAGAAACTCTTATCTTTAGATCCAAAGTGGAACTGCAAGCGCTTCTCTTCAAAGGGATTATCGTTAATGGTGGCAAAACGGTAAATGGATATTTAACCACTTAGGTTGTGGCGCATSGGTAAAGGCTCAGGGGGATGTAGTGGAAAATCTCATCTACCTGGGTTCAAATCAAAGCACTACCAAAGTCCTTGTGGTCATCGAGGTCCACATGCGATTGCGATGACTCCAGGCCATTCATGGTGGATTAATCGGTGTGCATAAGTTTCCTCGGAAACCCACGGTTACCCAATAAAAGCTCGCAACACTAAAATCCATCCTTAAAAAATGATTATTGATATTTTCCTTAATTTCGTATTTTTTGAATGTTGAAACTATGTATAAGTTGAAAASTAAAGTGCACTCATCCTACATCAACTCAACTAACTTGAACTTRTTTTAATGGACAGTGGCTTTCGTTAAATAAGAATGAAGAACATTGTGAAATGATATCATCAACAGAATTTATTCCTCTACAGAAACATCTTCATCGTCGTGAGTTTAGAGAGGATTCAAGGTGACATGTCCTTCCTCTTGTTTTTATGTATTTGATAATAGAGTGTAATGAAGGTTTTGTTCTCTATATTACTCAAACAGATTCTTTATAATGTTCTCTAAAAGAGAGAAAACATGAAAACTTTCTAAGTTYAGAGAATTCTCTAAAACTTAAATCATTTTATTCAATTTCACCAATGAGATTGAATTGTTATTATTTTATATAAAGTTTTTAAAGGTGTATTGGGATAATAAAGTTAGAAATCTCTATAAGATAGAGGATTGGTTGGAGTTGAATGTYATGTTGAACTTTTGGTTTTTTTATTTTAAAAAAATTATAGAAAACCTCTTTGATTTAGTAGATTTGCATGTTGCTAATCCATGTTGCTTTTTCATGTAGATTTGCAGAGTTCAATTTAGTAGCATATGATGGGAAGTTCAAAGCACATGTCAAACCTCAATTCTTGTCACCAGGAATCACATACATAGTTAACTTAGTCTTCACCCTCAAATACCGAAATTGGAACTCAAACGAACCACTGTATTTAGCCCTTGATTACAAACTGAAAGGGGAGACAAAGTATTCAACTGCATACCTTGCACATGAGAGAGAAGATAGATGGATGGCAGTTGAATTGTATCAGTTTACTAGCCACGAAAKAGATTTTGATCTCGAAATTCTAGTTSATGGCACTCAAATTSTTTTWSACACCCTCGTGGTAGAAGGCATCGAGTTTCGGCCCTCGGAGAGAGTAAGTTGGCAAATACTTGTTTATATSTTTACATCATTTATTTTTAAGTTGTTTTTAAACTTTCTTTGCCACACCAACATTTTGTTATACGAAAAAATGGGTCGGGTATGTKAGAAATCATCGCATAATARCTTTTCTTAAACTGTRTTCTGACCTTTACCACTTGGGTTACACGAAATTTGTTCGAAGATAATATGCRCAAGGTTCTAGTTAGGGCATGTTTATCAAACACTTACCATCAATCTSGTTGTGATGGTCAGGAATATTACCCCATAAGGTATGTAAAGGTAATGACTCTTGCTGCTAAGCATTTGGTAAACAACCTCTTAGCTWATACGAATGTACGTTYCGCATATCCTAACCTATAATTTAGCTTAATTATCAACAAAGTAATCCTCTTTATGTAAAACTATCTGAAAATCACCACGCACATTTTGATTGTAA